CTCGTCCAGAGATTATTATGCAGTGCCGTGCGGACCAGGCTTTTTCGCTGGTTTCTGGCCGTGAAACTTCATTTCTTCGTCATTTTCCCCACTATACAGTACACCTGCTACTATTTTTGAGCAAGTGCAAAATTAATGTGCTTCATGTCTTAGAGTGCATAGCCAAGGAGCAGTCTCTCATCAGGTTTAGTGGGTCAACTGATCATAAATATTCACTTTATTGTCTGTCGTTTTTTTTTCGAAAATAGTGTGGTCTTAAGGATGATGTTGATTTCAGAGCTTGTGTCGTGTTAACATCATTAGACGGTGCTCGAGCTTCTGGTGAAGGGCATTTAGTTGGAGCTGCTCGACATCCATTTACCTGTCTTGCGTTCAGTTCATGTGGACGCTACATAGCTACCGGAGAGGTAAGCCTCTTCATTTCGTTCCTGAATGACTTTGACTCTTGAATCAAAAACAGGGACTTGGTATAATACCGATATTTCTGAATGGTATTTCAGTCTGGTCACCAGCCCCACGTTCGAGTATGGGAGCTTCGTGACGATGTGGGAAATTTCACAGGGCAGTCGATTCGGAGTTTTCCCTTCCACTCCAATTCCATAGTTGCCGTTGTGAGTTTTGATGCAGCAATCCTATAACTATATTCTTCCGCAAGTTATTTTTATATCCTATTTTTCATTAATACTCTTCTGCCCTATAATTTATTTTTAAGATTCATTGTTTTATTTGAATCAAGGCGTCTTTTGTTTTTGTCCAAATTGTCTTTAACAATTTCAAATGAAGTGTTCCTTATTTATCACTCCCTTTTTCAGCGGTTTGTGCCTGGTACCAATCTGCTTATATCCGTTGGATGTCAGCATGATGCCACCACATGTGTTTGGGATTGGCGAAGTGGAACGAAGTTAGCCACCGGGAAAGTCACAGCTGTTGTGAGTTTCTAAGATGATTTTCTGCTGAAAATGTGGTAGTAGATGTAAATATTTCCCGAAGAACGTGACAATTCGACAGGAGTGTTCCAGAATAGTTTTTCTTGTTAGTATTTTCGATTTTTCTTCAACAGCGACAATTTCTCGGTATATTATCGCAAAAATATTTGCCAATCACTTTAACGGTTCGAAGACGCGGTCCATGGGGGCGTGGGTGGAGCCAGGCCTGCCATCGCTCCCTTTCTTCATTGACACGACCCATTCAATAAAAAGACAGGGAAGAGTAAGGAAGAGTTGAAGTACAACTGTGGGCTGGCTCCGCCCTCGCTACCGGCGTGGAATGTGTCCTCAGCTTTGGGTAGTTCGCTTCTGAGCGACAAACTTCCCACATTTGAAATCTTAAAAATCGTTCTTTTCTAGGTAAATGCCATAGCGATCTCTCCCGACAACACGATGTGCGTAACTGTTGGTTCGAAACATGTGAAATATTGGCATCTTCCTGCTGGTGATTCGCAACAAGGCGCCGGTTTACAGGTAAGGTTTGCCCACGTGGGAAACATTTCTCAAGGTTTTTGTGCTACTGTCGACCCAACGTTGTCCACAATGCTGTGTCTTGAGGCAAGCGATATTTCTGTCAACTATGAATGCTACAGGCATGCTCTGTTATCGCGGTATATCCCGAAAATATGAGGGGAATGGCTGAGTACTTCATTTGACCGCGGCGATAGTTGCCTCGTGGAGGGATGCCGCCGTTTTGTGACAACTGTCATGATGTTTTCACCCAGCACAAATAAGGATGGTAGTTGCTCTGAACGAAATTTCCCACGAAAGACATCCTACCCATGTTCTAATGGAGTGTGAAGCCACGCCCGCTCCCATTCTCGGGATGTGAAGAGTGACAAAGTCTGTCCTTCTTCTATTTGGGTGTCCGGTCAATTTGAAAAAATTCGTCCTTTTATTCAACACATATTAACAACAAAAATCAGTAATCAAGATAGTGGCCCTTCTTAGCCACGACGTCTCTCCACCGTTTGGGCAGGGCATCAATACCTTCCTTCCAGAAGGAAGCAGGCCGGGTGTGCCACCATATCGGACCGATACGCCTGACATCCTGATGCCGTTGGTTGAACATCTTGCGGTAGCCGTAACCCTGGAGACTTCTAAAAGCATGGTAAGGGCTAAGGTCAGGTGAATACGGAGGATGGGGCAGCCATTCGATTTCTAAATTCTCCAGCTCGTCCCTTGTCGCCTTCGCATGATGTGGTCGGGCGTTGTCCATGACGATGACTTGCCCGTAGTTGGTGCGGAAACTGTGGCAGCTTCGGGACACCAGCTCTCGTAGTTGCTCACAGAATATCGATGATGTTACAGTAGTACCCTCATGAAGAATCTCGTAGTAAATACAGCCGGTGGAGCAGAAGAAAAACGAGAGCAAGTCCTTCTTGGCGTGGCAGCCTCGCTTTGGAACGGGCTCCGGCTTTTGATCCGACGGCAGCCACTCCAGTTTCCTATCCGGGTTTTCGTACGAGATCCACTTTTCATCCTGAGCAATTATGAAGCTCGCCCAAGTCGTCGTTCTTTCTCGATCGAGGAGCTTCTGACACACATCGACCCTCACCGCACGCTCCCTTGCGGTAAGAGACCGCGGAATGATTCCGGGCAAAGCCGCGCGGAAGCCGTTCCTTTTCAGAATGCCGTGAATAGTGGATCGAGGAGTGAAGTCGTCCTCTCCAGCCTCGCCTCAGACTTTCGCCGGCATTGGCCCTCATCAGAAGCGCAGCACGATGCCAGCTGTTAGGAGAGAGCAGGGACGTCCGCATCGCAGATGCTTTCATCGCCGGAAAGCTAACTCTCTCCACTGCGAAGCGATCGTACCACCTGTAGCAGGTTGCAAGAGAGGGTGCATTGCCACCCATCGACGACAGCAATTCGTTCCTCGCTTGAGTGGCGGAGCGGCTGGAACGGTACAGTGAGTAGCGGATACGTCGAGTGTCGTGTCTGTCGCACATTATTCGATTGGTGACAACAAAGGCTATTGACGAAATGTAATATCGATCAGCGGCTGGTTTGATCTACAGATCATCCTCTATCTTCCCGTGTTTTGATCTACACATTTGCTAATGGCTTTCGCGCGCTACGCTTTTTCAAAGTTAGGCGGCGAAATTTTCTCAAAACTTTCCGGACACCCTAATATTGGATGTGAAGGACTTAAAAGGGCCGACAATTCTGGTGCTTCACGCAATCTACATAAACTAGTGTATTTGAGCCGCTTGACCACGGAAGTTGAGCGCTATATCAGATTTCAATAAGCTATTCCATTCTGAAATAGTCTTTTGAGCACCCTAATTTCTCCCCACGCGTCTGGAAAGTGTGACGGATATGGTTGGCATCGTTGTCATATGTGAGCGAGAAAGGATGTGGAAGAAAAACATTCCAAGCTCCAAGGATGTGAGGGGGGGGAGTGTATTCTGCCACGTAATACGTCTTTAGCCGCTTGAAAACTCTAGACAGTGCCACCTGGAGGGCGGCAGTCGACTAGACAGGCAGGTGACCGTTCCTCTCACCTAACCTAAAAATCCCTCATTTTGACAAGTGGGCACAATACATACCAGAGATGCCTATTCAGTATGAAGGACTATCTGCTTAGTATCCGTTTCAGTCACGCTCTGCGATTCTTGCCGATCGGAGAAGTTCGATATTTGTGGATGTCGTTTTCTTAGACGCGAATCGAGTTCTGTCAGTTACGGAGGATGGAGCACTAGTAGAGTTCCTCAATAAGAAGGTAATACCTAAATGTTTTATTCAGAAAGTGTATATTCCTCTGAAGGGGTCATGAACACAGTCTATGATTTTTTACGAACTGTCTTTTTCTTCTTGAATATAGAGGAGGAGGCTGCTATAAACCAGTCCTTTTTTGGTTTTTCTTTCGCCTGTGAACCCCTCAGTCGGGGCCCCTTGTGGTGTCTTCGATTAACCTAGGTATGTTATGGCTCTCTTTTCGAAATCCCGTCTCCTCATTATTTCTCCGTCTAAGACTGTTGAAATGGGTTTCAGTTTTTTTTCTATCGCGAAATTTGCTTGTATTTAAGAAGTTTGTATTTTGCCCTTGCATCCCTCACCCAGACTTCATGAGCCCTCGTAGGATTGGTCCTCTTTCGTGTAGTGTCCATACTCGTAACAAGCAGGCATTACTAAATTGTATGTATACGTCATTCGTTCATATTTCATTTCAGTACGTGAAAACGTACCGATTCGACGATCCCAGTCTACCGTTATGTTTATCGGTGACCAAGGATGCAGTAGTGGTGAGTTGATCTTTCAGGACCGTATAATTTATCATGGTTATCATTTTTCCTGGTGACAATGTTTGTTTGTTTTTCGAATATTCCTTCGCCTTGCTAAAAAATCTCGCTTCCGCTTTCAGCTTGGTTGTACAGGCGGTGTGATTCGTCTTTACGACAAGCAGGACCTAAAAATGCGTTGTCGTTTA